ATGATGATGATGATGATGATGATGATGATGATGATGATGATGATGATGATGATGATGATGATGATGATGATGATGATGATGATGATGATGATGATGATGATGATGATGATGATGATGATGATGATGATGATGATGATGATGATGATGATGAGATGATGATGATGATGATGATGATGATGATGATGATGATGATGATGATGATGATGATGATGATGATGATGATGATGATGATGATGATGATGATGATGATGATGATGATGATGATGATGATGATGATGATGATGATGATGATGATGATGATGATGATGATGATGATGATGATGATGATGATGATGATGATGATGATGATGATGAATGTGTGAGGGATAACTGAAGAAAGACATACAAATGATGTGTGTAATGTATGGTTTTCATATTTTACAAAGCACTGTGTAATTTGGTGAAGTCTTCGTTCACTACATTAATAGTAGAAGTAGTAGCCGTTATTGTCTCAGTAGAATTATTTACATTATGTTAGGTGATTTTCACTTAACTAATTGTTATTTCATTCACTTTGAAATTACCTAATTCACTGAATGATTTTTATTCCATCCAGTTTCCGAACTTTGTGAAAACTCTTTACTTTTTCTAGAATTATTACACAAACCGTATTGTCAATTTTCCACTTCTAGATACGTTTAATGGTTGAGATCATGAGTTAGTTGAAACTAGAACATCTTGTAGAAATTGGAAGCACTAGATGGCCATTTCGTCCTAGTGTAGGACTCCTCAGCAGCGTTCATCCACGATCCTACCTTGCAAGATCAGAACCCAGAACCTATCGGTCAGACGTGAGAACGATTAACCTCCAGACCACTGAGACGACATCCAACGGTATTAATATTTAACTTCAACTAATCCACGAAATTGAGCGAAACATTCACCATTATCTTCAGTGAAGACAAAACGGTCATCCAGTGCTTCCAGTTTTTCCATGGTGGTCTAACTTCAATTGACTCATGAACTTAGCTATTAAATTACAGCAATCTTTACAAAAACCCCCTTCTGATATTAATTCTAGATTTCTTTACTTAAACAAATTAAAATGGAACTTTTCGATAATAAATATACCTTTATATCCTGAAAAGTATCTTACAAAACTAAGGATATAGTATCTGACCTTAAGTTGAACTACTATTGATTGTTTATTCGATAATATATTCATGTAGGGTCAAAAAAATATTATTGAACCTTAGACAAAACATTTACAATGTTGAATGTATTTAGGCTGTACAAAACTGATTATCGAATATTGAATTATTTACTGAACTTCGTTAAGGTCAACAGTGACTAACGTTTATTAGCCAATTGATAACATAGTTTCGACATGTGAAGCAATTTCGTGGATTGGTTGATGTTAGACACTATCACCATTGGATGCCGGCTCAGTGGTCCAGTAGGTTAAGTGTTCGCGCGCAAGCGGGATCGTGGGTGCGCGCTACTGAGGAGTCCCACAATAGGACGAAACGGCCGTCCAGTGCTTCCAGGTTTCCAACGGTGGTCTAACATCAATCGGTTCATGATCTCAATCAAAAATGAAGTTTCAGTTTATCTATATGAACTCTCATGAATTGTTCTTACTGAATAAATCCTTTCACAATGAGATTCTTAATGCTTTCAAGTATTCTATGAATGATGAATAGTCTAGCTATCAGATTACAATAGATCGATCCAACCAATCATTCGTATAATGTAATTTCAACGTAAGATTACGTAAGTTAAACAGTTATATTATATATATTTAACGCTAATAGATATTGCCAACCAATATCAAAGTCACAATCTTCAATATGAACGTCAAGGCAGTTCTACTGTACGGAGCTGAAACTTGGAGAAGTACTACAACCATCATCAAAAATGTACAGGTGTTTATAAATAGTTGTCTACGCAAGATGCTTATCATCCATTGACCGCATACCATTGACAACAGCCTTTTTTGGGAGAGAACAAACCAGCTTCCAGCTGAAGAAGAAATTAGGAAAAGACGATGGAAATGGATGGGACATACGTTATGAAAATCAGCAAACTGCATCACGAGGCAAGCTCTAATTTTAAATCCTGAAGGGAAACGGAAAAGAGAAAGACCAAAGAACACATTACGTCGAGAAATAGAAGCAGATATGAAAATGATGAATAACAACTGGAAAGATCTGGAAAGGTTTGCCGAAGACAAGGTTGGATGTAGAGTGCTTGTGGGTAACTTATGCTCCTCCACGAGGAGTAACAGGCGTAAGTAAGTAAGTAAGATTAACATCTACTTACCTACTTCTTTATTTACATTAATTACTTACCATTAAAAATTAAGCTATCTTCCTTTTTGATATAGAATTTTAATGAGTATAATATAAATATTAAAGTATTTTCAACTCCATTCTAACCATAAATACAGATATTTAACAAATGCATTCAAATAATGCCTGATTATGTTATAATCTAATATATAGTAATATTCATCCATTATGTATGTAAAGTATTCAAATAACTTAGTTAGTTTATGGGTTTAGTAATAACAATAGAGGAAGGATTATGTAATGAGTAAGAAGTACAAACTAATAGTAAGATAAAAGATATAGTAGTGAATATTACGAATAATGATCAGAACATTATATCTACAATTGAAGAATATCTGAAACTCAAAACAACATTCTGTCAACCAACACCAAAGTCACCATTTTCAATTCAAATGTCAAGACAGTTCTACTGTCTACTGGGGCGAAAACTTGAAGAACTACCACAACCATCATCCAGAACATACAGATGTTTCTTAACAGCTGTCTATGCAAAATACTTCAGATCTGTTGGCCAGGCACTATTAGCAACAACCTATTGTGGGAGAGAACAAACCAGATCCTAGAGAAGAAAGAGATCAGGAAGAATCTCTGGAAGTGGATAGGACACACATTGGGGAATTTACCCAACTATGTCATTTGCAAAATGTTAATCAATCATTTTAGACTTCACTGTTCCTTCATTACTACAGCAATCATTCTCTTTTCTTCGATGTTCTTAACCTTCTGCTACCATTCATTTCACTTTCGATTGATGATACATACTACTTATATCTGTTGACATCAGTAGCACACATCACAATATGATTGAATGGAGTCATATAGAGATCTCAAATTCTTGCCAAATCATGAGAAGAGGTTATAGCTTATTTGTTGAGTATGTTATCTGGTAGCATGGTAGATACAAATTCAGTATTTTACACAAATGCTTATTTAATTTTAGTATGGAATCTAATAACAATATGACTAGAAAGAATATTGTTCACTCATAAATGTTGTTTTGGTACCAAGAAGGAAAATTTACAATAATCCATAACTGTTTGAGTAATCAATATTATAATTTCTAATCTTTTAAAGTGTTAATATAATTCTGTTCACTAAGCTCTTAAATAAAGTTTAGTCTAAATAACTTAACATAATGGTCCAGTTTCGTTTGATATTAGATAGTTAAATGAAAGTAACAGGAAAAACTACACCTTAAATTCACTTGGTATTGTTTTACTTGAATCTTCCCATTGATGTTTAGAACTGTAATTGATCAGTCACTTATTGGATTATGTACATACTGTGCGTATTGCCTCGATATTGCCTTGATTCACAAGCATTCTAAGTAAAGATGGATAGTGGCTAGAAGTGGAATCCAGTTTGATGCGCGTTTCGTCCTATTTAGGACTTGTCATTTGGATGTCTCTGCATCTCAGAGTTAAGGTTCACTCTAGGACTCGAACCTAGTACCACTCACTCTAAACGCCATCGCATTATCCACTTAACTACTGAATCTTGATAGTCATTTGCTTATACAATGGGATGAAATTTAAATTCTCCTTTATATTGTTAAAGGAATATAAAGTCATTGTAAAATTCAAATACATTTGATTATTAAAAATATTACAAATGAACTATTGGGAACACAATCGATTCCTTCTAATTTGACATTGTAGTACACAGTTGTTGTTCTTGTTGTTGTTGTTGTTGTTGGTATAATGAACTAATTGATTCACACTAAAGATTATTTAATACAGAATTGATTATTCTTCATTAATGAATATGAAATCATCGATTTCAGATAATCATAAATAAATTCAACATTAGGCTAAATCATCTAGTAACATGACATGGCTCAAAATCGTTTGCAATGGCGGAGGTGCATACACTCTTTGTGTTCACCCAAATTCTAATCTCCTGACTCCTCCTTGTCTCTTTTTCTCTTCCCACATTTATTTCACTGGATTATACTCTTTAAATAGCATCTTCAAACCCTATTGTTTCCGAATACTGCTTATACTTTTACCGCCTCTATCACTACGGGATTTGAATCGACAATTGTATCTCTGTGCTAATGTGGTGTGGCAACTCGAACTAATGTATGTACGTACGAAGTTCTAAGTTGTTACTGACTGACTGATCTAGTAACAACATCTCTAACTATTAGACATCGATTTTTCTTTATAGAAATGGGCCCACCTAAAATTGTATAAAAAAAGTCTAAATAATGATGTTCTACTAATTATATTTACTTGTGTTAAGTGAAGATTCAAATGATAACAGTTAAATGAGTAGAAAAAGTAGTAAATAATGAAAACATTTTCCATCGAATATTTCAATCTTTACCTCTGTCCCTTTTGCTCGCTCTCACTCTCTATTTATGTATCATTCTTTTATGGAAAAGAAAAGTATGACTTCATAGGAATAGAATCATTATTCCAAAATGTAATCAGAATGTTATGGCGCAAATATAAAGAAATATATATGTATATATATACTTTACTATATGACATACAAACAAAATGAAAAAAACACAACTAAATTGTAGTTTCTACAACAACAAAACTTCAATTTAAAATAGTTTCCATGACAAAAAGAAATCGATGAGTTACACACATACATACACACAGATCGAATCTAACAAACCCTTATATCATATACATGCTGATTACGTAATATCTGTATACATATATATATATATATATATATATTTACTAAATATTTGATTATGGTCAAATAAGTTAATGAATTATGATGTATTTTGTGAAATTTCATCAATCCATGGTACAACACAAATTGTTGTATTCGCATGATGTACAACATAATCACTAACACTTCCCATAATGGTACGTTTGATAGCACCTAAACCACGACTACCAATAATAATTAAACATGCATTAATTTGTTCCGCTTTTCTAATAATTGATTCACCAATATGATTGACTGATTCATATAAAAATTGATAAGTTAAATTATGTGCTAAACAATCTGTACTATAATCATGTTCTAATTCACGTACACGTTTTACATTGACTTCAACAATATTTGACCATTCATCACTTGGTATACTAATTGGATTTGATAATGATATAGTTGGTAATGAGACTGGTTCTACAGCATGATAAATTGTGATTGTATCATCTGATCTTTGTAACCATTTTAAATAATATTGAAATGCTTTTTTTGAATGTTCAGAACCATCTATAGCAATTAATACAGATCTTGAACCAATTATTGGAGGTTTTGAAAATCCTGATGGTCTTCTATTCATTATAAATGAATTGAATCACAAATGAATAGTTTTAGTTGAACTTCGTTTAAATCTAATTCATTTATATAAATTAACAGTTGATATACCCGCTTATATGACCTTAAATCAAACTAGAATTCTATTGGTTAATAAAAATATATAGACAATTTTCATTGGTTAATTATTTTTCTATTCAATTATTGGTTAAAATGATCATGTAATTGAAATCAAACTATTCCAATTATTATTATTATTATTATTATTATTATTATTATTATTATTATTATTATTATTATTATTATTAATATATTTATTTAATTATTGAGAAATCAATTATTTTTTCTTCCCTACTAATTCATATGAACAGAGAAACAAGAAGTCTTGACAAACTATAGAAGCTACTTTTTTTGGGGGGGGGATATTATTTCATTTGATTCAAAGCTTGTAAAACATTAACATTTATTTTTGTCCCTAATCTAATCTACAAATCATAAGCTTTCGTTTGATGCATGATTCACTGTCATAGCCCTTTTTGTTTCAAAGTTATTGTAATTTAAATGTAATCTTTTATACTCTATTTTTCTACTCTAATTCCCCAATTTTGGACATAATTGTATTTTCCTAATTATTGTACGTTGTGATCGAGTTAGTCATTTATTTATTTATGTATCTTTTTACACTGATCTGAAATCAGGAACCAGATCGGAATTGAGGATAAATCGAGTAATGTTCCAGTTGACTTGTCTTCTGTCACATGTGTGCTAGTCAATCAATCAGGTGATATAATCGGTTTCTTCTCTCTACCCCACTTAGGACTCACGCATACTAGCCTCAAAGTTAAGCCGGTCAGCCTATCGCGTCAAGGTCTTAATCTAGATTGGACAAGTGGGTAGACAGATCAAGGACGTAACACTCATCTATTAACAAAAATTCATAAGAATAATAATGTGATCAATGAAAAAGAACCACAATAATGATTATTATTGTTGTTGATAATTAATTACTTTAGACTTCGATGAAGAATGCTGACGAGAGACTTATGCTCCTGCATGAGGTAAAATAGGCGTAGGTAATTCCGCTTGGAGCCCCTCTGAGGATACTGACGGTCCCAAGCTCAGATCAAGGAGGAGGATTGAATATAGGGTTAGCGACCTCATCTCGTAGAAAACTAATTCGCTAAAAAAACGCTAACCAGAAAAAATAATTCAGACCATTTAAACTCTATTCTAAGAGTTGGAAGGTCTTCATTTAGAAGAGATATGACGTCTCATGACGACCAGAGCAACCATTAATTTAGGCACATGGAATATTTGTACAATATGGGAGAGTCATCCAAGTTGCTGCAGAAATGAAAAGATACAACTTGGATGGGCTTGGAATCAGTGAAACACATTTGACGCAGGCTGGACAACAAAGAATAGCTTCAGGACAGCTACTGTTATACTCCGGTCATTATGGGACACCTCAGCAGTGGGCATCCAAGATCATGATTTGAAATTTTGGACGACATGGCTGAGTTGATAGCCGTAGAACAGATATATTAAATCTTTGTTTTCTCTTAGATCTTGAGTTTCAAAATTATTTCATACTTTATATGCTAAGAATTCATCTTTTCTTATCTAATCTTTTCTAATATCACTGACATTGCTTCCTTTACTCTGATATTTATCGTGATAATTCCAAATTGCTTTGTCCATATAATGTAGCAACTTGAACCGATTCATATACATCTCTGATCCTTATATTGATCTAATTCTATCGATCAACTTCACACTAGCTGATCACTTATTTGATGTCCAAGTCATGTTAATGGCTGTTCTAATCACAAGCTCAAAATTACTATATGATCACTGTGCTGAGTAATTTCATATCACAGATGTTTAGAGCCGATCAAGTCAGGAAATCATAGATGGACATATAGTTCTAAGTCATCTTAACCCCTGATGAAGCATTCTCACCTCTGCAATCACATCATTTAATCAGTACTATTTTCACAGAGAATTTTTTCAGCTTCACAGCATATTCTTATGAAGTTACTTTAAGGATTACAAGAATTACCATGTTCCTCTTTTGTGGTAAAAAGTATCTTACAGAACTAATTCAGTCAGGATTTAATAAGGTGAAATCTTGGTTTCTGTACATAACCAAAGACAGTGGATAACGAAGGAAACTCAATGTTTCATTGGAAAAAATATAAAGACAGTTCAGTGGAGAGAACTTTATTTTCAATGATATCAATTACAGAAGGTGCACTATATAGTGACCATAGTGATTTGATGCATCTTAGGACAATACTTAGTATGGTAAAATATGGATCATTTAATTGACTCTTATCACGTAATCACACTGGAATTATTTTTCGAAATCTGGACAGTCGAACAGCTGGGATCAAAAGAAAGTTGAAGCAAAAAAGGGTACACCATTGAGGCTTTTGAAATTCGGAAATATAAGCATGAACTCAACGCGCAATCTCGAATTCTTATTCAGCCCTAAAAAATCCCTCCCAGTTTCTTTTTATTCGGTACTCAGTTGTCGCTAAACTGTTGTAACTTTTAATAATAATTATTCCTTTATTTTTCATATCTGGACAATTATCTCTCGTACATTACAACTGTAAGTGATTTACAACTTTTTCAACCTCCAGATTCATCGTCACGAAACTTTCTTTGTGATGCTTGAAATCTTCGAACACTTTATGACATACTCTCATTTTCACCACATTCCAAGATATTTATCGAACCATCATAGATAAGATTGTAGAACTTTGGAAAATGACACTTAAAGAGAATAATCTTGAATTATAGATTGTTGGCTATAAAATGGAGTGACTAATTCGGGAACATGTTGTAACATCTTCTAACGAGATCGCTACAAACGCAGTTCCATCGTTATGATCAAATATGTGGTCATTTGTAATCAACGATCAACGTGAATGTACCTTCCTATGTGTTCTGGTTAGTATAATATGTTTGAATGATCAATTGAAGTAAAATTCCACATGAATAAATACGTTAAAAAACAATCTAGCACGAATATGACAATAGACCTATCAGTCATCCTTGCTGTTATTGATCTGTGCTTCCGTTTTTCTAGTTGTATATAATTTCAAGTATCCTGTAACGGAACTGAAATTGTTCTTGTTTACACTATTCATTCTCAAACTTAACGTTCCAGTCTTCCAATTAAGGAAATACTGAGAGTAAACTCGTTTTGTCTATCATTCCAGAACGTTCATAACGTACGTGCATACGGGGGAATCCAAATATTTCACAGTTACATTATACTACTATTGTACGGCCAGTGGCCGAGAATATACTACTACTAGACCAGGTACTCTAGTGATATGATATACACAGACTGGGACACGTTATACTGGATACACGAGTAACGATCGAAAACAGAGTACCATAATATAGAATAGGCGATACATTATTCAACACAACGACAAATCACTCTACGCCCACTGAGTGCAGAGTAAAAATCAATAATTTGGAACAAGTGGCACATCTAATAATGAGCGTCTATTAATGCACATTCAATTGCCAATCACATCACTCATCGCTTACAGTTCTCCTAACATTACTCTATGCTCAAAAGATCGATAACTATCATAATAAATATACCAATAACAATAGCGTACTCTGAAATAGTATCGTCTATGTGTATTTTGCGTGAATCTCTTGAACCACAAAATCGATAACTTTGTTGTAAATGTTTGGTGAAAAAGTAATTGACGAATCACGTATCTTCAAACACTATACCCTTAGTTGTTTTGTGAATATTGCATTCTCCTTTTTCTTTATAACTTGACCGTTTTACAAATGTAAGAACCATCCTTCATCAATGTTCAAAAAAAATGAAGTATTCAGTATTATTCCATTAATTTGGTCTATTAGCGTAATTTTTATTGATGATTTCACGAGCCATCTATGCACGACTTCTGTGAACATGACACTATAGTACATCATAAATTGTTGGATGAGAAACGTAAATAACGTGAAAATTAGCACTTGAAATGAAATTTGTTATAACGCTCGTGTTTTACTTCGTCTAATGTTGTAACGGTTGGGTTTCCACGTTTACACTTATAGGAAGTTAATTTACCTTAAACGAATACCTGCACTAGATTCCCTCCCAGTACATTAACACAACTCAGATCAAGAACATGTGATTACCTTGACCACAACGTAAATATATTTCCACACCACCAAAACCCGACAATCAATAAAGGAGTAATAATAATAACTCATCTGACACACCTATCAGACTATCTATATGACCGATTAAGCAGACAACCAATCATCATCATTCTCGCCCACATATGAAAATTCCCATCTAAAATCATCCTATAATACATATAATATTCATTCATTAAATGTATATGTCAGATGGGTTTTTGTGGTGATTGTAGTAATTTCAATGGTTAAGATCATGAGTCAGTTGAAGCTAGACCACCATAGAAAACCTGGAAGCACTGGACGGCCGTTTCGTCCTATTGTGGGACTCCTCAGCAGTGCGCATCCACGACTTCGCGCCCTGCGAGATTCGAACCCAGGACCTACTGGTTTCGCGCCCGAGCACTTAACCACTAGACCACTGAGCCGGCATCCAACGGTGTTAATGTCTAACTTCAACTAATCCACGAAATTGAGCGACACATCCACTATTGTCTTCAGTGAGTTACTACCTCACAACAGACCTGGTTGAACTCCACTGGTCACTACTTCTCACTAGAACTCCAGGATATATCTCTTGAAGTCAGTCACTAGTGAGCATATGTTAATTAGTATTAGAAGGGGTTTTGTGGAGATTGTCATAGTTCTTCTTACATGTGTTATTCCCCTGAAATATTGATGTGGATCTTATAATTATGGTTAAAATAATATATTAGTAAAAACTTATGAATTATTGATTCATTTGCCATTTGAAACAAACGACACTAGGTTCGAATCCCGCAATAAATATCAACCCTGTTATTTGAATTACATCCAGTTGGATAAAACGTGGATTCTGCATTCTACTATTAACTATATTGATTATTATAGAAATCATAGTTTAGATTTGATTTATTAAAATAACTAACTACTAAATGTTCTGTTTACTTTTTTTTGAATAAAAACTTGTTTATTTTT